AAGCTGCCTTTGACCCCGGAGAGTGGATCAGTCGTACCAGAAATCTCTACAACTGGAGTGAGGAATATGGGAGGTGAGCCACATAGAATTGGTGGCAGCTTGTCAAAGTGTGTGAAGTTGGATGAAAAAGAGTGCCTGGATACAATTACGTTTGATCCAGGGATGTAAATCTTTGTTAATTTCATTCTCAAAGGAAGCAAAAATAATTTTTGCAATTTCCTTCCTATTGTGGGAAAAAAATAATGAAAACTGCATTTTTTGAAAACTATTTGCAGTTTGGGACTAATTGGCTCACATCTTGTTGGTTAGTCCCAACTAGAGTAGATCCATTCAATCAATTTTTGCATAGTGAGTCTTAACACATAGATAAATCTAATAGATTCAGTGAATCTCGTTTAGTCAGGAGTAAAAGAGGATTTAGGCCATTCTGTGCAAAATTTGAACATTTCTTTGTAGAGAACACCATTTTCTATGTAGGAAGCAGCATTTTTGATGCAGAAATAGTATTTCTGCTCAGAAATATTATGTTTTTGACTGTTTTCAAATACTGTTGAGTAGTCTTTTCATCACTAGTTTGGTCTAGAAAATAGCATTTTATATGTAGGAAACAGTATTTTCGGTGCAGAAATATTATAATTTTTCACCGATTTTTCAAATATTGTTGAATAGTCTGTCCACCATTAGTTTGCTTTAATGTGTATATTACTTTTGTTGTTGTGTGCCTTCCTCTCTAGAAAACTCTGTAATAAGTTCACCTTAGGGTTGCCATAAGTCAACGAAACAACTTGAAGGCACACAGCAACGACATATATTCATTTTGGTGTTTTTGTTGTGTGCCTTCCTTTCTGACTTATGGCAACCATAAGGTGAAATGGTATACTTGGCAAGATTTGTTCACAGAGGAGGCTTGCTGGAGTGACTTGCCCAAGGTCACCCAGTGGGTTTCCATGCTGAGCAGGAATGCAGACCCTGGTCTCCAGAGTTGTAGTCCCAACACTCAAACCACTTCGTCATGCTGGCTATGTTGATATCCTGCTTTTCCTCCATTGAACTCAAGGTATCCTACATGGTTTTCCCCTGCTTTATGTTTACAACAATCCTGGGAGGTAGGTTTGGTTGAGAGTGAGATTGAGAGAGAGACTAGCTCATGGGGGTTGTAGATAAAAGTGATTTGATGGATGGATGGATTGAACCCATCGTGAAGAATGTGTACTCTTTTACTAAGCTGTCTATATCTGGTAGTGAAAACCCATTTAACACTAGGGGAAATTAAGTGGTATCTCCCCCTGCCCCCACTCTTTCAACATTCATTTTAAAAAATGGTTTGATCCACTCTATTTCCCTTCAGTTTATGACCTCTAAATTGTTGTCTGATCGACTTTGACCTATGAATGAGAGACCTCCAAATCATGCAGTTTGCAACAGCCCTGCACAAGTCTTGCAAAATAGCTTCCTTGATTGAGTCAGTCCACCTGTAATGGGGTCTTCTTCTTTTCTTACTGTCTTCCACTTTACTGAGCACTATTTTCCCCAGTGAGTCATGTCAGCTCATGTTATGTCCAAAGTAGTCATCTTTACATCTATAATCCAGGCTTCATTCAAATGAGGGCTTTTGCTGTTGAACCAGATTAAATGTGCTACTGAGCAACAACAGTAGTATGGGATGATATTGAGGTAGGATTTCATAGCTAACACTTGTTAGTACTGTGCAGAAGAAGGCACTGCTAAACCATTTCTGAATGTCTTTTTACCATGAAAACCATTTGATGGGATAATCCAAAATGACCTCTAAGGCCCTCTGTAAATTGTATTTGTCTTGTGGATATGAAGTACAGGTTGTGTCTCCCTTATCCAAAATGCTTGAGACCAGAAATGTTTCAAACTCTGGAATATTTACATATACATAATGAGATGTCTTGGAGATAGGACTCAAGTCTAAACATGGAAGTTGATTTTTGTTTCATATACACCTTATACCAACTTGGCGTAGTTGTTTGAATGTTACACTATGATTCTGGAGACCAGGGCTTGGTTCCTGCTCAAGCATGAAACCCACTGAGTGAGCCTGGGCAATTCATACTGTCTCAGCCTCAGAAGAAGGCAAACCTCTTCTGAAGAAATCTTGCCAAGAAAACCCCATGATAGGGTCACCTTTAGGGTCGCCATAAGTCAGAAATAATTTGAAGGCACACAACACGCACACACCTTATACACATATGTATACATGAAGTTAATTTTATACCATATTGTTAATAATTTTGTGCATGAATCAAAGTTTGTGTACATCGAACCATCAGAAAGCAAAGGTGTCACTATCTTAGCCAGATCTTCTTTTGTTCTTCTTAAGGTTTGATGCCTCTTCATGGGAGTCAGTAGCCAATGAGGAGATGTGGCAAGCCAGGTGGGTGTCAGTCCTTGCACACACAAACACACCTACACACACCAAAATTTCCCCCAGCGACAACCACACATTACCCTGTCTCAATGGCTCTTGTGAAGAAAAGGGAAGCACTCAGCTATTCACACGCATGGTGCCTTTGCACCATAAAAATGCCACCATAATCAGCTGGCAAAACAAGGTGACGGTGGAAATCAAGAAAGCAGAAGCTGGTGTCCCATCAGTGGGATTCAAGCAATGGCTGGTGATGATGGGAGTTGTAGTCCAGGTTGTGGAAGGCTGACTTAAGGCCTCCTTTCCAATCCCCAACTTCAACCCTTTCCTGCCCTCACAACATATCTTTTACATACCTCTTTTTCATTGTTGCCCCACCACACAATTCCAGCTTGTTGAATGTT